CTCTCTCCTCCTCCTCTCTCTCTCCTCCTCTCTCTCACTCTCTCTCTCTCTCTCTCTTCTCTCTCTCTCTCTCTCTCTCTCCTCTCTCTCTCTCTCTCTCTCTCTCTCTCTCTCTCTCTCTCTCTCTCTCTGCTGTCTCTGATTGCACTCTACCAGCAATCAACGGTTACGTGTCCACGTTTCCGACTATGGCCACTGCTCTGGCGGAGTTGACACTGGGCACCAGATAACACTCAGGTATGACACTGCAAATCCAGCTAAATTTATTCTGATGCCTCATTTGCTTGTGATGTTCAGTTTTATATCTTCTCAAGGCAAGTGAACCTGCTCAGGGGTAGATTTGTGTCAGCAATGTGTCAATGCCAATGACACACGCCTGGTGAATAAAATCATTGCGGCAAGCAGTATCAAGCTCAGAGTCATGTTGTCCTTGGTCTCAGGCTGTGTGGGCCAGTGGAGGGAATGAAATCGCAGTGCATGCAGCTAGGCTAGGCAAGCTCACCAAAATCCGGGAATGACAATGTGAGACAATCTGTGCTGTCTCCCTGTAATGGTCAGTCACTGTGTTGTGATCAAGTGTATTATGCAGTATTGAGCATTCAGTGTAGCTGGCTGTACCAGAGGCCTGGTTTAGTACTAGTAGCTGAAAAACGTGGTGTTTCATCTACTGTAGTCCGCTGACACACGCATTATCCCAGCATGCAGGTCAATGAGAGTTAGTACTGAAATCCTACTACATTACTGTATTAGTAAATTTTACTTGTTAGTATAAGTAACACTTCAAGGACGGTGAGTCACTCTCCAGGATCTGACACATGGGGCCCATGCGTGTCAGTTGGCAGGAGTGATAGCGATAAATCCTGGCCCGTGCATGCAGCCCTATCTCGCCGCCTCAGTGCGAAGCTAGCAACGACGTACCAGTCACAAACTGACAAAGTCGAGTCAATGTCTCAAGCATGCATAGCCATTTGCCGCGAAAAGACGTGCACCAGTGGCGAAGAGGTGAAAAGGACGCGGTTGTGGTCGCTGTCACTAGTGTACTGGGGCACGTGCTGTAGCAAAGGACACTTGCTCGTGACAGCGAGTACAAGCACTTCATGCATGTTCTGTGCATTTTGCGCGACCTTTAGCCCTCTCATGCGGCGAATGAATGAACAACTTGAGAAGGGAGTTCGAAGGGAAAGGCCAGGACTCTTCAGAACCCATCCTTGCATTATCACCTGTGGGCTGCTGCTAGCTACGGCCGTAGGTCTACTTTGTCGACGGAAATGTACATTCCACACAAAAAGCGCGTAGCGCCGACACTCGCACTCATCAGGCGTCATGCACTGAATCAGGTCTACCGGCAATGTTTCTCCTTTGAGTTTGAGTTTGACACTCACTGCATAGACGTAGCTCGGCGGAGACTAGTAGTACAGTCTATAGACTAGTAGTAGTAGTGTTCGCTGACCAGCTCACAAAAATGACGATGTCGGATGTGATCCGACCAGTCATTGTGTTCCCAGAACGTGCAGCCGTTACCGACAGTCCGCCTATAATAGATTTAGTGCTGTGCTGGCGATCCGAGGTTGGGCTGCTCGCCAAACAAACTGCTGACGTGCTGTGCTGCGACAACTCTCTAGTCTCAAGATCTGCGCTGGGCTCGATCCGTTACGATTCTACCAGCTTCCTACTGAATACTGCCTGGTAATCTCCGCTGAGGAAATAAATACTTTCAGCAGTAATTGTGAAAGGCACCTCTGTTCTTTCGAGTGCCGCGCTTCAAGCCAGAATCACTGAGCGCATTCTGCACGTGCATGCAGGAAGAATAATAATCGAGCACCGACCCCAGAAGCAGTGGGCGAACAAGGAAACAGTGTCCATACAGACTAGCTGATCGACTGTGGCGTTCATTGACAAGCGACCTTAGACCTGCACAGGTGAGATGGCTTAGTGACTCGGAACATTAATTTTGCATGGCGGCTTTGGCCACCCCGATTGCCCCTAAAATGCCATAGTCCCCTATACTTTTCAATTATTTTTTGGGTGTTATCGTGTGTAGTGCATAGTGGTCTCGTTGGGTGTATTTTTTATTTAATTAAAGTCACAATGTGATTTTATTTGGGTTGTTTAAGTCCGGGCAGGTGAGGATCAGGAGTCATGCTGCCACCACCCGGAAATTACAATTGAATTCTATTGGTAACGGTGATTGGAACGACGCGACTGGAGTAGATGTACAAAGAAGGTCGGTGTGTATCTCGGTCACGGCTGGGCCGTAACTGAGCATTCTATCCAAGTGCAGACCAACAAACAGGAGAAGGACACCAATGGTCGCTGATTGGCAATAACAAGGGGAAATACTCAGATCGACCTAGTGTGTAGGACCGTGTTGCCCGTGGAGTCTACGTACTCCGGAGCCGGTAGATCTACTACCGATGCTTCGATGTAGCTTTCGTGCACAGCAAGAATTGTTGGTTGAAGTCGAACACGTTCGATTTCGTTATGCGGCTTACGCCAGTTGTGATGTGAATCCGAAATCCAGTTCTGCTAGTAACATTAGTTCAATTTCCTGTCATCAGGGGGAGAGGCAGGCATTTGTCCTCTGGAACCCGGAAATCTGTGCCTGCCAGATGGCTGGCATGTGTGCAAAGTCGTGCACATAGAGGAAGGATGGCACCTCTGTACCCAAGGGAGAGTCTTGATCATGACAGCTACATGCCACATTACTACTACCTAATGTGCAGTTTGCATCTACCCTACTTGATGGTACATTCAAAGTGCCTGCCTAGCTTTGTCGGTTGGTGTAGCGCATGTGTGCGCGCAGTGTTACTCTATACTGTTGTTGTATACTGGACACAAAATCCCCGACTCAATTATCAGTATTCAAACATGGAATCCATGCCACCTGGGCCGGCAGGCATATAGCCAATACGAGTAATGTGGCCGATTATGTGTGATCAAGCAGTGCAGAGGCTGGTTCTCAAATGCACCCGCCAGTTTAGACTTTAGTGACGGAAAGAGCGCAGCAAGTAATTGGCTGTGTACGCGGATGCGGCATTCTGGATGTGGCCATATCAGCGGCTTCACTGACGATTAGTGGATCAGATCATCAGCAGGGGAGGCTGTGCTTTAGACGGTATAATCATTGTGTTTGGTGGCCTGTTGGTTGTGTGCAGATAAATGATGACAGTCTGCAGCAGATAATCGCAAACTTATCACATCTAAACAGTGGCAATTCGGATACTAGTGATGCGTGGATGGACTCATTCCTCTCACCTGTAAACAACAGTAACGACACCAGCGGTGAAAACATGGCGAACAAGGGAACCAAGGCAGGAGCAGGTTGGTCTATACATATTGGCATCTACCGTTTTTCTGGAAAATTATGTATTTTCTAAGAAGTTTCACACACTCCAGTGTCTGCACCATTTGCACATGACTCTCAACAAACACACTACATCATGGTCTCTTTGCTGCGGAAAATCTTCCCTCCATCACCTTACTGCAGTCAAATTGCCACAAGCGACCTCCCTTCGGCGCAACCAAAAGCGGTCTCTTACAGCGGTTTGTCTCTTATGGCAGATACAATACAAACCCAGCCTAACCGACGCATGTATGTACTTCCATATACTCTAATTGACCACAGAAATGTAAGTCTTTGACATTTTCCGGTATTTTCTGTATAAACCCATGGCGAGAAAGGAACGAAAACGTTTGGTTCGGAAACATTGGTTCTACTAGTCGGATGTGGATTGCGCCGTGGCACATATAATTTTTCATATTTGTAAGGAAAAATTGGAAGCGTATGCAATTTTGAAAGTAGTATGTGCCACGGCGCAATCACGATATTTTATACACTGCCCTAAGTTACATGTGAAAGCCCGCTTCATGATTGATTGACAATGGGCTTCTCACGCATCTGAATGTAACAAGCAGCTTGCCCCTCAGCTTCCATGCAAGCTCACGCGATTCACGCCTCATTGAACCTAGGTTTAGCTGTCTGCAGGAGGTCGATATGCCGGCTCAGTGGGCACAACAGAGAGTCGCCCTGCCGGACAGATCAGTGTGTATAAAAATCACGAAACCATCGGTGCATGAAAAACGGGTCACTGACAGTGGGTGGTCGCCTACTACAGAGGTCGCTAGTGGTCGTGGCTAAGGGCAAATTTAACTGTAGTATTTATGATTGGACTCATACATGTAGCAGCACTAACCAGTGAGTATCAGCATAGGGTAGTTCTTTCGCAGTTTACGGTAAGTTGTCATCCATGCATGCTGGTCCATTTTCATTTCCAAGTAGCACACTGGACAAATGCCCTGTTTATGAATTCCTGGTGTACAGCACCTCAAGATTTGCATGCTAGCACCGGTTAGATGTACAGTAGAACTCCCCTAATTGGGGCACATTGGGACCGACCTAATTGGGGCAGCACATTGGGACCGACCTAATCGGGGCACATTGGGACCGAGCACTGCCCGTAACTAGGCACTGCGCTTAAGAATAAACATTTTTTAGGCTAATCCATAGTTTTTGGGGCCAGTTTCCGTTGAAAAGCCAAATTTTGTGACTCCAGATGGGTCAGAAAGGTGCCCAGGAGGCGGAAGTGCCCGGATTAGGAGCGTCCAGAGCTGGGGAGTTTTACTGTACATAGAGATTTTTGTTTAGCCCATTGCTGACATGCAAGGCAGCAGCCTTAGTTGACATGTATATGCAGTTTTATTTATAGTACAGCCTTACTGCAAGTAGTGGTGAATCATGAGAGTGGGCCGGGCCATCACAGTTGCCTTGGAGTGTTCCGAAACTGGAGCTGCTGCTATTCGCATGATTTGTACCGTATGGCCTTTATGACTAAAGACTTGTCCATGTGTGTTGTGTGCGGCTTATTCTGCCTCGTGTGTAGCCAAACACTCTCAGTCATCCAGTAAAGGAAAATCGTTGCCAAGCAATGCACCAGTGGTAAGTTGGCCATTGCTGACCATACGCGCGCGCACACACACACACACACACACACACGCACACGTACACACACACACACGTACACACACACACGTACACACACACGCGTGCACACACACACACACACACTAGCTGATTGCCAGGGCCTAGTCAGAACACATGCCGTTACAGTAGTGCATTTGGAAAACCATGGCGGCATCACAGACACATCAGTGAACATCCATACGCGCTTCATGCACACGTCTGGTATACCTCGTGTTTGGCAGTGCGTGGAGTACTAGTGCAATCCATGCATCAAAGTGGGATGGTGAATAATATTAGCTCGCTCATCCACAATTCTAACTGTTGTAGCACTGGTTTTGTGTACTGTGTGTGTGTGTGTGTGTGTGTGTGTGTGCGTGTGTGTGTGTGTGCGTGCGTGCGTGCATGTGTATGTACTGCTTCCTATACAGACTGTTGAAAGTGAGAACGACTCTGGTGTGGAAAATGATAAGGTATGTATGGACTCGATCCCTCCAGTGCTGATGCATTTGTGTCAGCAATTGCTCAAGTTGCTGTGCACGTTGCTTCCAATGCCAGGTCATGAGCCATTTTGAAACACATGACTCATCAGCTATTCTCGGAGTGTAACAAATGGGGGTGATTATACAGGTCACTACAGGCCAGGCTGACTGACATGCTTGCTGCTGGTCCACCCTGGCCTAGCTGTGGTCAGCAAGCCCTCTGTCCACCAGCTAGCCCAGGCTAGAGATGCACATATTCACCACTTTGTTTGTTTGTCCACCAGCTAGCCCAGGCTAGAGATGCACATATTCACTTTGTTTGTTTGCGTCGTGTGGCTGTTGATTTTTGAAGTACCGTTGTTTTGATTGTGAAAATATGTTGTGCAGGAAAGCTTACCCGATTGTCACGAAGTGTATGTCAAGGTTTGTTACCGTGGAAGTCCAATGGCTGGCATGAAGGTGGACAACAGGCTAGGCTGCCGCATATTCTTCGGTCCGTGTGTAGCCAGCTCTGGCGTCAGCGAGGAGGAACATGCACGCTTGTTTGGCGGTCGGCATCTCACGCAACTGTCTCTGCCTCCGCCAGGACAAGCGCAGTCCATTCTGCCTTCCATATGGTACCTCCTGGACTCGCTGCAGCGCGGAATCATTTTGGAGGTAACTACTACTTGTCCAGGCCACCACTTTAGACTAGTCTGCTCTACGTACATGTACATTGTAGTACAGTTTGAAAGTACACAGCATTCCGGTATCTCAAAACAGTAACCAGTGAAGAAGAATGAAGGGAACATTATAATTATGGGAGGAATAGGATGCTATTGTCCTACGCCCTTGCTGTGCTTCTACACACGATTGTATAGCGGGAGGTGCAGTGCAGATATGCAAACTTCACTGCTTCTTATTCTAGTATTCTTTACAAGTAGAAGCATGTCTCCATTCTGGTCATTGATTCTGTCTTCTCCTTGTTTACATTCTTGACGTTCTGCTATCATGCAGGTGATCAGTAATGACATCTATGCTACACGTCTGTGTCATGCCAATGTCTACTGGGGAGCACCTGCACATCTGGGTGACACCTGCGCTTTAGAACGGGGCGTGCGAACGCGCATCTTCAACTACCAGCTATTCCTGCAAATATACAAGCACTTCCGAGATGACCCGGACAGGTAAGGACCGGTGCTTTCCCACCTTGTCCCTGTGTGCCATACCAGAGACGTTTGTTCACCTAGGCTAGCAGTTAATCTGACAGCTGCAGTGCAGTAAGACCGAGCTGATGGAAACGACCGTCATATTACTCACAAACTAGTGTGCAGAATTGAGAAAGTACACGTGTGTCATGGTGCTGTGACTTTGCATGCCATCATTGAACAGGAAGTTGCTGAGATCAGCTCCTTTCCTGTTTGCGAATATCAGTGTCTGGTGATCACTACAGCCCAGGTCAAACTTGCAAATAGAATATTTGCAGTACTCGTGCTTTTGTAGGAAAAGGGGAGAAGAAAGTTATTTCTTTCATGCTTCAATCTTCCTTTGGGTTTGCTTTGGTTTGCTCATTTCCAGGACGGCCCTAGCGTCCCAACCTCCAGCACCGAGTGTTCTACTGGGAGTTGGTCAACCGTGGGGTCCAGAGAGGCAGCTGGACAATAACTTGGTGATGATCAGTGTAACCCATTGCCTGGCGGAGCACTTGATGGAACTACTGCACCGCCACCGCTGGGAGACACAACGTCCGTTTGACACCGACTATCTGATGATCGATCTCATGAACGACGATGACAAGCTGGCAATGGCCAAGACCCGCTTAACCTTGGATCGCCTAGGGTTGGAGAAAGACGAGCACCGAGCTGATGCAGCCAGTACAGATGCCGCTGGAAAACTGACCCCATTAAACTTGAGCTCACTGCCAGTGGGTATGTAGGTCAACGGCATGGTGTCGTGGCTGTGATATGCCATGGCTGTGATATGCCAGGGATATCCAGGACTTTCAAAGCTGTTCTCTTTACTGTTACACATGGTATCCAGCTGATCACATAGTCCAAGTTCATTTGAAACTCCAAGTTCCTTTGAAACGCTTTGACGCTTGATACTGCATTCTGAAAGATATGATTTTTTTGTTGCCCATTTCATCTGAGAAGTTCTACCACGTGTGCCTGAGACACTTATGCTGGAAGTGAAATGCTTATCTATGCTGCTACCCGTTGAAGAAAGACTGTGCTGATATGCTTGAGAGTTTTGTACAAAGTTGTATTCATAGCCTATGGTGAAAGTCTGTTCAGCTACTTCGCCTGCCTTGTTGATGCCTTGCTGATGCCTTGCTGATGCCTTGCTGATGCCTTGCTGATGCCTTGCTGATGCCTTGCTGATGCCTTGCTGATGCCTTGCACATCTCTAGTTCTGCGTACTATACAAGATCCAAAAACAGAAATTCCAGCTCACAGTCATCAGCAGGACCGGCGGAAACAGTTTGTGATTGGTCTGGTCACACCCTAACCTTTCGTAATCACGGTTACTTTGTGTATGATATGGAGGGCACCGATATACACATGACGTCACCGGTATACACATGACCTCGTCAGCAGTAACGTTAAACACACGTTGGTGGCCAAAAGGTTGGTGGGGCCATGGCCTGACCAACCGGACCGGTTCCGCCGGGCCTGATCAGTGGTCATGCACTTGAAGCATGAAGGCTGAAGTGTTGGTTTTGTGAACCGCTGTGAATGCCCAACTCTAGTTCGCTCCTGGCTTTGCTGATGTATAATACTGTACGAAGTGCCCCCCCCCCCCCCCCACACACACATATAATTATGATATCTTCACATGTCCCTGCTCAATAATAGCCCTGCTTCACACTCAGATCAGGCGTGGAGTCGTAGTCTTGCTTCACAGCCCACACCTAGTACCTCTGGTTGACAGCTCCACTTCACATACACAACAGCCCTGTTTCACACATTACCAGTGCTGCCAAACCGTCCGATTTTTGGAGGCTCTTCCGAAAACCGGTCCGAAAAAGGAAACGGTCCGAAAAGCAGCCAAAAATGTCAGGGTCCTGACTCAGTGATCAGTACCTAGTGTTAAGTCCCGGTTTTGCTCAGTCGGTAGAGCAAGCGGTTACAGTAATGGAGAATGGTTCTCATTCGGAATTACACACTTATTCAGAGAGAGAGTTCTCAGGTAATAATCAGAATCTAGCAGGCAACTAATATACAGGGAACTGATCTGCGGAGAACTGGTCTGTAGGAAACTAGAAAGGCAGCAGCTTTCATAGGATGAGAACCTGTTAGCGTAAGTAAGCTAGCCTATGCATGGTCGGGGGATACGTAAAGCAGAGAGAAGTAAGCTAGCCTATGCATGGTCAGGGGATACGTAAAGCAGAGAGAAGTAAGCTAGCCTATGCATGGTCAGGGGATACGTAAAGCAGAGAGAAGTAAGCTAGCCTATGCATGGTCAGGGGATACGTAAAGCAGAGAGAAGTAAGCTAGCCTATGCATGGTCAGGGGATACGTAAAGCAGAGAGAAGTAAGCTAGCCTATGCATGGTCAGGGGATACGTAAAGCAGAGAGAAGTAAGCTAGCCTATGCATGTGTAATAGGTCGCCGAGTGGTATCAGGAGGCACATACAAGAAGACTGACTAATATTATGTTATTCGGCTCAATCTGCCTGAAGTTATGTATACAACTGCTCCGGCTCAATCTGCCTGGAGGGACTCTGAAAGGAATACAACTGTTCTGCTCTGTTCTGTTATGTTATGTTCTAAAGAAATGAGTAAAGCATGGCAGCTTTTATAGGGCGAAAAGGAAGGAGATCATCATAGCGTCTGCATGAGCCATGAGTCATGAAAAAGGGCAGAAGTCTGTTGTGTTAGTCCAAACAGAACTTGGGAAGGCATAGCAACAGCATCTAAATGTATAAGGATGAAAGAAGCAAACGGAACTTTGGAGGAGAACAGAGGCCAGGGAGGGCATTGGCAAATGGATGCAAACCGGATCTAGAAAGGGTCATGACTGTCCGCATGACCTCAGTCAGGGTCAGGGAGGTACAGTACAACATGTGGGTGTTAGTTCTACATGTACATACAGGTGCGATGATCTAAACTAGCAAAGATATGTAGTATGCAATCCAGCAAGCGCAAGAGAAGCACAAGTGGTGAGAAGTGATATAATTAGCTTTGCAGGCTTGTCAGCAAAGGAGTGACAAGAGTCATGCAGTGCGTGTACGTGTAAATGTGACATGATTAGAGGTCAGTAGAATAATGTAGATTGTAGTAGTCAGCTACATAACAGTTCAGTACTAGCAAGGCAGGGATACTACACCCTCCCTTCCTACAGATAATCACGCCCTCGTGATTTTTCAAAAGTATTAAGTTTTTATTAAAGCAGGAGTACGAATGATCATTATGGTGAGACAGCATGGCTTGGTAGACGGATAATAAAGTAGGGACCCTGTGTGTATAATGTGTGTAAACCTGTCTCTCTGTGGAGCGGGAAAAATTTCGGACGGTAAAAAAAAGGATGTGTAAAATCGCGTCACTGTGGACGGTAACAGTTCTTCATTCGCGTCTCTCTGGGACGGTACAACGGGAAAAGTAGACTCGCGCATCATGTGGCGGTATATCATGTTACATGGACTGGTTATTTGAGTGCGTGCTTGCAGGGTATACAGTATTTTGGGTCTGAAACTGATTGCTTGGTCGTTACGGGGTGGACATGATCGGGATGGGTGATGAAAAGGCTATACTAGGAAACTTTGTGATCAAAAACTTGAGAAAGCGGTTGTACGGAAGCTGCAGTGTGGCGAAATGTTGGGTGATCTAGAACTGTGTACTGCATGGATCTGGACGTACATGAAGGTATATGGAGAGTTGTGAGTCCTAGGTTGTTGATCGAATGGTGGGACGGTGACTGGGAGTGGGATTGTCTGTGGGATGGAGTGGCTGAAGGAACGTGGAGGGCCTTGTGTATCGCGTGTAGTGTAGCAAACAAACTAAAGGTGAGAGATGTTAGCAGGGGAACAACTTTGGCAGCAGAACGAGTTAGTGATAGGGATATGGCAGCAATGATCATGATCACAGAATGGAAACAATCACGGGATGGCGGAGCTTGCATAATACGCGGCGTAGCTTGCACGATAGGGGTGGCATGTGTACTAGTTAGTAAGTAACAGTTGCATTTGACCGGGTTGATGATTGAGTAGGGATAGAGGAAGAATGGTGACATACCTGGGTTGAAGGGAAGATGTGCCGTGTATCGCGACGACGATAGCAATACGCTATGGCATGGCCAATCTGCTTGCAAAATCGGCAATATGGGCGAAGACGAAAGGGCCGACGTCGCTTGGGTCGTACATATACCGGTAGTACTACAGGGACATGCCGGAGGGCATGAGAGCTCGCTGGAGAAGTATGGTGATCCACTTTGCCGGAACGCGGGCGTCGCAGCGTCGATCTGCTGTTCGGATGGACTGGCGAACCGAGATTCTGCATCGTTGTCAGATCGTCATGGGTTCAGAACCGCGGTGGGTGCCAATTAACGGTGCTTTCCGCTCATCGTTCGAGGCTGCCATCAATGTAATAGGTACTTATAACGAAACTGACGACAACGATTGACTAAGGATGGTAACAACATAACAAGACTGAAGTAATTTATAATTAATTAGTTGCGTAAACAGATCTACAGGGACGAATTCACGCACCGCTGCCACCAGTGTAATAGGTAGGTTCGAATCTTACAAAGGAACGTCGTTAACTTTAACCACCGCTGCCACCAGTGTAATACAGATACTAGGTGGGTTCGAATCTAGCAATTATAAAATTGAACCACCGCTGCCACCAGTGTAATAGGTCGCCGAGTGGTATCAGGAGGCACATACAAGAAGACTGACTAATATTATGTTATTCGGCTCAATCTGCCTGAAGTTATGTATACAACTGCTCCGGCTCAATCTGCCTGGAGGGACTCTGAAAGGAATACAACTGTTCTGCTCTGTTCTGTTATGTTATGTTCTAAAGAAATGAGTAAAGCATGGCAGCTTTTATAGGGCGAAAAGGAAGGAGATCATCATAGCGTCTGCATGAGCCATGAGTCATGAAAAAGGGCAGAAGTCTGTTGTGTTAGTCCAAACAGAACTTGGGAAGGCATAGCAACAGCATCTAAATGTATAAGGATGAAAGAAGCAAACGGAACTTTGGAGGAGAACAGAGGCCAGGGAGGGCATTGGCAAATGGATGCAAACCGGATCTAGAAAGGGTCATGACTGTCCGCATGACCTCAGTCAGGGTCAGGGAGGTACAGTACAACATGTGGGTGTTAGTTCTACATGTACATACAGGTGCGATGATCTAAACTAGCAAAGATATGTAGTATGCAATCCAGCAAGCGCAAGAGAAGCACAAGTGGTGAGAAGTGATATAATTAGCTTTGCAGGCTTGTCAGCAAAGGAGTGACAAGAGTCATGCAGTGCGTGTACGTGTAAATGTGACATGATTAGAGGTCAGTAGAATAATGTAGATTGTAGTAGTCAGCTACATAACAGTTCAGTACTAGCAAGGCAGGGATACTACACATGGTCGGGGGATACGTAAAGCAGAGAGAAGTAAGCTAGCCTATGCATGGTCGGGGGATACGTAAAGCAGAGAGAAGTAAGCTAGCCTATGCATGGTCAGGGGATACGTAAAGCAGAGAGAAGTAAGCTAGCCTATGCATGGTCAGGGGATACGTAAAGCAGAGAGAAGTAAGCTAGCCTATGTATGGTCAGGGGATACGTAAAGCAGAGAGAAGTAAGCTAGCCTATGCATGGTCAGGGGATACGTAAAGCAGAGAGAAGTAAGCTAGCCTATGGTCAGGGGATACGTAGAGCAGAGAGAAGTAAGAAGAAAGGCCAAACTACAAGGTACATGATTGTGTGCGCAGAAGAATGGGAAAGGTCGGGACATGGCACCTGTGCAAGAGGAATACGTTGTAGAGGAAGAACTGAATAGAAGGGTGTACAATACATCGTATACATGTAGGTGTGCAATACCAGGAGGACAACTGTTGAAAGGGGAATTAGGATGTATGTACAGCTGTTAGTAATAGTATGTGTAGATAACTAAAAGGGGTTGAAAGTGAAATGCATCAAAAGGTCTCCAGTGTGCTATCTAAGGTCAACCTCGAAAGTGTGTGGGAACAATACCTGAATACAGCGCATAGTATATTATTAGTAGTGCATGTAAAAGAGGATAGAAGGTGAGGCTGGTGTAACAAGTCAAGTACATGTGCATGTCATAATGTATGTATTCCTATCTAACACTAGTAGTACTAGTAGTAATACTAATAATACCACAGCATACGTAATAATAATTATACCGGTAATTATGTGGGTATAATTATACGTTCCGCTTCTGTCCTATCTCCTAGTCCTATGATCAAATTCCATTATCAAGATTATTATTAATACGGTGCACTGATG